TAGAACTCTAATATGCTGATGACAATGTCGTCTGTGTGCATTCAGATGAAGACCTACAAGCCACTCAACACCTTTGCAGAAGCATGCAAGAAGCTCAGCCTCTCATTAAACATCGCGAAACCAAACAAAAAAAAGTTCCATCCAGCCCAACCTCCTTCCTTCTACCACGCAGGGAGATACCATCTTATCCCTCCTGGTAAATCGCCATCTAGCCATATATAAGATAGATAGATAGATAGATAGATAGATAGATAGATAGATAGATAGATAGATAGATAGAATTGAGAAGGACCTCAAGGGTCATGCAGTCTAGCCCCCTACTTTCTTCCAGGCAGGGAGAGACACCACGTGATCCTTCTTGGTAGATGGCCATCCAGCCATAGATAATTATAAGTAAGTAGATATATAGATAGATAGAGATGATTGAGAGGGACCCCAAGATCCATCCAGTCCAACCTCCTTTCTGCCAGGCAGGGAGACACCATGCAATCCCTCCTGGCATATGGCCATGCAGCCATTGATAATGATAGGTAGGTAGGTAGGTAGGTAGGTAGGTAGGTAGGTAGGTAGGTAGATATGATTGAGCGGGATCCCAAGGTCCATCCAGTCCAACCTTCTTCTTTCTGCCAGGCAGGGAGATACCATCTGATCCATCCTGGCAGAAGGCCATCCAGCCATAGATAATGATAGGTAGCTAGATGATAGATAGATAGATAGATAGATAGATAGATAGATAGATAGATAGATAGATAGATAGATATGATTGAGAGGGACCCCAAGGTCCATCCAGTCCAACCTCCTTTCTGCCAGGCAGGGAGACACCATCCGATCCCTCCTGGAAGATGACCATCCAGCCATAGATAATGATAGAGAGCTAGACAGATAGATAGACAGATAGATATGAATGAGAAAGACCCCAAGGTCCATCCAGTCCAACTTCTTTCTTTCTTCCAGTCAGAGAGATACCACCTGATCCGTCCTGGCAGATGGCCATCCAGCCATAGATGATAGACAGACAGACAGACAGACAGACAGACAGACAGATAGATAGATAGATAGATATGATTGAGAAGGACCCCAAGGTCCATCCAGTTCAACCTCTTTCTTTCTGCCAGTCAGGGACACACCATCCGATCCCTCCTGGCAGATGGTCATCCAGCCATAGATGATAGACAGACAGACAGACAGACAGACAGACAGATAGAAAGATAGATATGATTGAGAGGGACCCCAAAGTCCATCCAGTCCAACCTCTTTCTTTCTGCCAGTCAGGGATGCACCATCCTATCCCTCCTGGAAGATGGCCATCTGGAAGATAGTGATAGATAGAGAGCTAGACAGATATAGATAGATAGATAGATAGATAGATAGATAGATAGATAGATAGATATGATTGAGAAGGACCCCAAGGTCCATCCAGTTCAACCTCTTTCTTTCTGCCAGTCAGGGACACACCGTCCGATCCCTCCTGACAGATGGCCATAGATAATGATAGGTAGCTAGATGATAGATAGATAGATAGATAGATAGATAGATAGATAGATAGATATGATTGAGAGGGACCCCAAGGTCCATCCAGTCCAACCTCCTTTCTGCCAGGCAGGGAGACACCATCCGATCCCTCCTGGAAGATGACCATCCAGCCATAGATAATGATAGAGAGCTAGACAGATAGATAGACAGATAGATATGAATGAGAAAGACCCCAAGATCCATCCAGTCCAACTTCTTTCTTTCTGCCAGTCAGAGAGATACCACCTGATCCGTCCTGGCAGATGGCCATCCAGCCATAGATGATAGACAGACAGACAGACAGACAGACAGACAGACAGATAGATAGATAGATATGATTGAGAGGGACCCCAAAGTCCATCCAGTCCAACCTCTTTCTTTCTGCCAGTCAGGGATGCACCATCCTATCCCTCCTGGAAGATGGCCATCTGGAAGATAGTGATAGATAGAGAGCTAGACAGATATAGATAGATAGATAGATAGATAGATAGATAGATAGATAGATATGATTGAGAAGGACCCCAAGGTCCATCCAGTTCAACCTCTTTCTTTCTGCCAGTCAGGGACACACCATCCGATCCCTCCTGGAAGATGGCCATCCAGCCATAGTTAATGATAGATAGACAGACAGACAGCTAGATATGATTGAGAAAGACCCCAATGTCCATCCAGTCCAACCTCTTTCTTTCTGCCAGTCAGGGAGATACCATCTGATCCGTCCTGGCAGATGGCCATCCAGCCATAGATGATAGATAGATATGATTGAGAGGGACCCCAAGGTCCATCCAGTCCAACCTCTTTCTTTCTGCCAGTCAGAGAGATACCACCTGATCCGTCCTGGCAGATGGCCATCCAGCCATAGATGATAGACAGAGAGCTAGACAGACAGACAGACAGATAGATATGATTGAGAAAGACCCCAAGGTCCATCCAGTCCAACCTCTTTCTGTCTGCCAGTGACACAGCATCCGATCCCTCCTGGAAGATGGCCATCCAGCTATAGATAATGATAGATAGATAGATGGATAGATAGATATGATTGAGAAGGACCCCAAGGTCCATCCAGTCCAACCTCCTTTCTGCCAGGCAGGGAGACACCATCCGATCCCTCCTGGCAGATGGCCATCCAGTCAGAGATAATGAGTGAGATAGATAGATAGGATTGAGAAAGACTCCAAGATCCATCCAGTCCAACCTCTTTCTTTCTGCCAGTCAGGGACACACCATCCGATCCCTCCTGGAAGATGGCCATCCAGCCAGAGATAATGAGATAATGAGATAGATAGATAGATATGATTGAGAAAGACCCCAAGGTCCATGCAGTCCACCCCCCTTCTTTTTGCCAGGCAGAGAGACACCATCCAAGCCTTCCCAACAGATGGCCATCCAGCCTCTGCTGGGAAACCTGCAGAGAGGGCGGCAGCTTGCTTGCTTGCTTGCTCCCCTTCTTCCTTCCTTCCTTCCTTCCTTCCTTCCTGCCCTCCCTCCCCTCCCAGGAACCGGCTGGGATCAGCCTGTCGCCCGGTAACGAGAGAAGAGCGTCATTTCCTGAGCTGTAGCTGCCAAGAGGCCGCCCCGGGAGGCAGAGACGCCGAAGCCGCTCAACAGTTGAGCCAACTCTTTGCCTTCCTTCGTTCCCTTCGAGGAGAAGCCGCGGATACCGGAGGAGCCCTTGGCCAAGTCAAGGCTGGGTCCTCTCCATGAGCCAGGTGCAGAAACCCGTCCTTTAAGGAGAAGCGCACCTTGGCATCCTTGTGATGTTTTCCGCCTTGGCTGTTTCTTCTCGGCTGGATGGATCCCTCTCTTTTGTATTGATCCTTTTCGCCCAGGCAACGGGTTTCTTTCCTGGCTGGGATCCAAAGCAAGGAGGCGACGACCCGAGGAAGAGATCGGCTGCACTTCTCGGTCTCGTTGCCTGAAAACATCCCAAGAGGGAAAAGAAGCCACCTTCTCTCTCGGAAGGAAGGCAGGGAAGGAGGAAAGAAGGAAGGAAGGAGAGAAAGGAAGAAGCCAGGTAGGAAAGAAGGAAGGAAGGCAGGAAGAAGAGAGAGGGAGCGGGAGGGAAGGAGGAAGGAAAACTAGGAGAGAGAAAAGCAAGGAAGGGAAGAAGGAAGGAAAGGGAGAAGGAAGGAGGGAGGAACAAGGTGGTCAGTTGGGAGTGGGAGGGAAAAACTAGGGAAGGGAAGGAAAAACTAGGAGAGAGTAAAGCAAGGAAGGGAAGAAAAAAAGGAGGAAGGAAAAACTAGGAAAGAGAAAAACAAGGAAGAAAAGGAAGGAAGGAAAAACTAGGAGAGAGTAAAGCAAGGAAGGGAAGAAAAGGGGAGGAAGGAAAAGTAGGAGAGAGAAAAGCAAGGAAGGAAAGAAGGAAGGAAAAACCAGGAGAGAAAAAAGCAAGGAAGAGAAGGGGGGAAGGAAATAAGGAAGGAAAAACTAGGAGAAAGAAAAGCAAGGAAGGGAAGAAGAAAGAGAAGGAAAAGGAAGGAAGGAAAAACTAGGAGAGAGAAAAGCAAGACAGGAAAGAAGGAAAAAATAAGAGAGAGAAAAGCAAGGAAGAGACAGAGGGAAGGGAAGGAGGAAGGAAGGAAAAACTAGTAGAGAGAAAAGGAAGGAAGGAAAGAAGGAAAAACTAGGAGAGACAAAAGCAAGGAAGGAAAGAAGGAAGGAAAAACTAGAAGAGAGAAAAGCAAGGAAAGGAAGGAGGGAAGGAAAGAAGGAAGGAAGGAAAAAGAAAGAGAAAAAGGAAGGGAGAAAAGAAAGGAAGGAAAAATTAGGAGAGAGAAAAGCAAGGGAGAAAAGAAAGGAAAAATTAGGAGAGAGAAAAGCAAGGAAAGGAAGGAAGGAAAAACTAGGAGAGAGAAAAGCAAGGGAGAAAAGAAAGGAAAAATTAGGAGAGAGAAAAGCAAGGAAAGGAAGGAAGGAAAAACCAGGAGAGAGAAAAGCAAGGGAGAAAAGAAAGGAAAAACTAGGAGAGGAGAGAAAAAAGCAAGGAAAGGAAGGAAGGAAAAACTAGGAAGGAAGGAAAGGAAGGAAGGAAAAACTAGGAGAGAGAAAGGAAAGGAAGGGAAGAAGGAGAGAGAAGGAGTGGGAATGAGGAAGGAAGAAAAGAAGGAAAGAATGAACTAAAAGAAAAAAGGGAGGAAGGAAGAAAAGAAGGAAGAAAGGAGAGAGAAGGAGTGAGGAAGGAAGGAAAACTAAGAAAAACAAGGAAGAGAAGAAGAGTGAGTCCTTTTGGGGAAAGAGGGTGGGTTATAAATTTATTATTAATATTATTATTATTAAGGAAGGAAGGAAGGAGAGAAAGAAAGAAGACAGGTAGTAAAGAAGGAAAGAGGGAAGAATACAGAGATAAAAGGAGGGGGAGAGGGAGAAGAGAAGAAATAATAGGGAAGGAAAGTAGCAAGGAAGGAAGGAGAGAGAGAGCACAAGGAAAGAAGGAGGTAGGAAAGGGCGGGAGGGAGGGTGGGAAGGAAGGAAGGAAGGAAGGAAGGAAGGAAGGAAGGAAGGGAAGAAGGAAGGGAGGAAGAGGGAGAGAGTGAGGAGAGGGAGCAAAGAAAGAGGGAAGGAAAGGGAGCAGCATGGCTTCCCCTCCTTTCTCTTGGACTCCTAGGATAAAGAGAAGCAAGGGAAGCCAGTAGTGGTCCCCTGCCCCGTCTCCAACGTGCTGGACCGATGATGTCCTGACCCACCAGAAGCTGTTGGAGGTGAGGGCAAGGCGGCGGAAGGGGGCAATGAGCACGGATCTGGACCGCCTCTCGCTGGAGTCCTGCTCTTCCTCCAGGTCTAGCCCGGGACCCTCAAGTGCCCCCTCGGGCCCTGGCCTCCGCCTCCTCTCGGCCAACGTGAGGAAGCTCCACGGGGCCCTGAACCTACTGCTGAGTGAGGCCGAACGGGAGCAGTTCATCCACTGCCTCAACGTCTACCATTGCCGTCGGAACGTGTACGACTTGGTGAGGACCCTCAGGGTCCTTCTGGACGGGCCGGAGAAGCGGCGGCTCTTGCCCATGCTCCGCCTGGTCATCCCACGCTCGGACCAGCTCCTCTTCGATCAATACACCTCGGAGGGGCTCTACCTGAAGGCCGACTTCTTGCCCAGCCTCGATGCCACCTCCACTTCCCCCAGGTCCCTACCTTCTCAGCCTGAGCCCTCAGTGGAAATCGTTGCCCCCTTCGAAGGGACGGTGACCCCATTGGGGTCTGGGACACTTCATGGGGAGCTCCGTCAGGTGGCCCTCAAGCGTCACAAGGCCCACGAAGGGCTGGGCTTCAGCATCCGTGGTGGTTCGGAGCATGGTGTGGGCATCTACGTCTCCTTGGTGGAACCGGGTTCCTTGGCTGAGAAGGAAGGGCTGCGGGTGGGTGACCAGATCCTGAAAGTCAATGGCAAGGCTTTGGACAAGGTGACCCATGCCGAAGCCGTCAAGGTAAGCCTGCTCCTCTCCTTTGGCTTTAGTAGAGGGCCTGCAACTCCCATCATCCTGTACCTTGGTAGCTGGTGGCTTTCATGTTGCTCCCTTGGTATGACTTTAGATAACACCCGGATTGACTCGAGTCTCATGCGCCATCAAATCTAATGCGCACCTCAATTATCAAAACCCTGAAACCAAAAAAAAAGAGCACTTGCTGGGGAATGTAATACACTCTTTGTCGTTTGGCCAAAAAAGATGGAGATTACAGTGGCTGCATGCTTACCATTCCTTCTTTCAAAACAAAAGTGTTGAACGCCAAAGCTTCAAGCAAAGGAAAAGGAAAGCTTGGGGTGTATCTATGCCAGGCATGGGAAAACTTCCTAATTTGGGGGCAGCACGCCAGCACTCCCTACAAGGCGGACTGCCTGCCCAGTGATGAATGGAAGGAAGGAAGGAAAGGAGGAAGGGAAGAGAGAAGGAAGGAAGGAAAGGTGGAAGGGAATGATGGAAGGAGAAAGAGGGAGAGAGGGAAGGAAAGGAAGACAAAAGGGAAGGAAGGAAGGGTGAAAGGGAAGGAGGAGAAAAAGAAGGAAGGGAAGGAAGGAGGGAGGGGAGGAGAGAAGAAGGAAGGAAGGAAGAGGGAAGGAGGGGAAGAGGAAGGGGAAGGAAGGAAGAAGGAAGGAAGGAGAGAAGGAAGGAAGAAAGGAAGGAAGGGAGGAAGGATGGAAGGAGAAAGAGGGAGAGAGGAGGAAAGGAAGAAAAAGGAAGGAGGAGGAAGGGTGAAAGGGAAAGATGAAAGGGAAGAAGGAAGGAAGGAAGGGAAGAAAAGGAAAGAGGAAGGAAAGACAAAAGAGAAGGAAGGAGATGGAAGAAAGGAAGAGAAGGAGGAAAAGAAGGAAGCGAATAAAAGGAAGGAGGAAAGAATGATAAAGGAAAGAGAAGGAAAAAAAAGGAAGGAAAAGAGAAAGGAAGGAGGAAGGGAAAAGGAAGAAAGAGAAGGGAAGGAAGGAGGAAAAAAAGAGGGAGAGGGAAGAGAAAGGAAAGGGAAGGAAGGAAGGATGAAAGGAGAAGGAGAAAGGAAGGAGGAAGAAAAAAGAGAAGGAAGGAAAGGGTGGAAGGAGACAGAGGGAAGGAGGGAGGAAAAGAAAGGCAAGAAAGACAAAAGGGAAGGAAGGAAGGAAGGAAGGGAAGGAAGGAAGGAAGGAAGGAAGGAAGGAAGGAAGGAAGGAAGGAAGGAAGAGGGAAGGAAGGGAGAACTAAAGGGTGGAAGTGAAGGAGAAAGAGGGAGGTAAGAAAGGAAGGGAGAGAGGGAAGTAGGAAGGAAAGAGATAAAGGAAGGAAGGATAGGATGATGAGAGAGAGGAGGGCCCGAGAAAAGAACACAAGGGACCGCATCTGGTTCCCAGGCCTGGGTTTTTCCCATACCCGTTCTAACCAATAGCCCCATTGTGTCAGTGCTGCTTTGGATCCACACCGGAGTTTAGTCCGAACCCAAAAGAAGCAACCCATGTTGTGGACTTCTTTAAAAGTGCCACATGGTTGGAGACATTGTCCTCCAGCCAGTTCCATATTTAGGCGAGCCGGCAGGAGAACATCTGAGCAAAACACATTTGACTGGAGCCATGCGGTCTTTCTTCCTCAGGGTACTTTCACACTGGTACAAAAAATTATTACAGAAACCGTGGGAGATGTCTTTCTGCTGTGAAATCCCATGGAGGAGGCAGTGCAATCGGAGAAACCAAACCCTCTTTTAGAAACTTAATCTCCTTACCGGCCAGTTGTGATCGACTGAGACAGTAATAGAGGTTCTGTCTAAGACAAGTCCTCTTGGACACTATACTATGTAGGTCAGTTGTTCTCAGCCTTCCTAATGCCGCGACCCCTTAATACGGTTCCTCGTGTTGTGTGTCCCCCAACCATAAAATTATTTTCATTGCTACTTTATAACTGTAATTTTGCTACTGTTAGGAATTGTAATGTAAATGTCTGATATTCAGAATATATTTTCATTCACTGGACTAAATTTGGCACCAAAACCCAACATGCCCTTATTTGAATACTGGTGGGGTTGGGGGAATTCGCTTTTGTCATTTGGGAGTTGTAGTTGCTGGGATTTATAGTTCACCTACAATCAAAGAGCATTCTGATAGAATTGGGCCAAACTTGGCACACAGAATTCCCATGACCAACAGAAAATACTGGAAGGGTCTAGTGGGAATTGACCTTGAGTTTTGGAGCTGTAGTTCACCTACATCCAGAGAGCATTGTGGCCTTAAACAACGATGCATCCAAACCAAACTTGGCACGAATATTCAATATGTCCCAGTGTGAACACTGGTAGAGTTTGGGGAAAATAGACCTTGACATTTGGGATTTGTAGTTGCTGGGATTTATAGTTCACCTACAATCAAAGAGCATTCTGAACCCCACCAATGACAGAAATGGGCCAAACTTGGCACACAGAACTCCCATGACCAACAGAAAATACTGGAAGGGTTTGGTGGGCATTGACTTTACGTTTTGGAGTTGTAGTTCACCTACATCCAGAGACCACTGTGGACTCAAACAATGATGGAACTGGACCAAACTTGGCACGAATACTCAATATGTCCAAATGTGAACACTAGTAGAGTTTTGGGGGAAATAAACCTTGACATTTGGTACTTGTAGTTGCTGGGATTTATAGCACACCTACAATCAAAGAGCAAACTGGAAGGGTTTGGTGGGCATTGACCTTGCGTTTTGGAGTTGTAGTTCATCTACATCCAGAGACCACTGTGGACTCAAACAATGATGGAACTGGACCAAACTTGGCACGAATGTGAACAGTAGTGGAGTTTTAGGGAAAATAGACCTTGACATTTGGGAGTTGTAGTTGCTAGGATTTATAGTTCACCTACAATCAAAGAGCAACCTGAACCCCACCAATGATAGAATTGGGCCAAACTTGGCACACAGAACTCCCATGACCAACGGAAAATACTGGAAGGGTTTGGTGGGCATTGGCCTTGTTTTTTGGAGTTGTAGTTCACCTACATCCAGAGACCACTGTGGACTCAAACAATAATGGAACTAGACCAAACTTGGCACAAATACTCAATATGCCCAAATGTGAACACTGGTAGAGTTTGGGGAAAATAGACCTTGACATTTGGGAGTTGTAATTGCTGGGATTTATAGTTCACCTACAATCAAAGAGTATACTGAACCCCACTAACGATGGAATTGAACCAAGCTTCCCACACAGAACCCTCATGACCAACAGAAAATACTGTATTTTCTGATGGTCTTTGGAGACCCCTCTGACACCCCCTTCATGACCCCCTCAGGGGTCCCGACCCCCAGGTTGAGGAACACTGATGTAGATTCAACGGTCCAGAGCAAACCAACGATAAGATTAACGGAAGGATATTAAACCTGAGATTTCGAATTAGGGATAAAAATGGAGACTGGCTAAAAATACTCCCGTTTTAGTACTGCTAAAAATATCCCAGTTATTCAACGCTCAAGTCAGATAGACCTGGTCAGTTTCACTCATGCAAGAGGGAAGGGGAACGGATGCATTGACAGGTGAAAAGCAAGGATACAGGGACCGGTTTCCAAGGCATTAATGTATTTAACATCTCTGCCCTTCAGTTTGGCTGATTCGATCAAAGTGATAATTATATTTGCGCTCTCGCTGGCTCGCCACGCGTGCTGTTATGCATTACTGATTAGCATTTATGCAAATGACTTGGAGAGATAGAGGGGAACATTCCTGAGCATATGATCCTAATTAGTATTCTTATTTTCCAATCAGGCCAGCTTTGGGCATATATTGGCTAACAAACTGCCATCCAAATGTCCCCGGAACAGTCAGCAAATTTCTCCTGCGGTTGTTGACGATTTTTGTGGCCCTACGAAAAGCCAGCTCTTTATTTTTAATGTAATGTTCACTAATACCCTTGGCACTATCTGTTCCTCCTTTTCCAGACTTCAAAGCCAAGGAAAAATATTCCATTGCTGGCAAAGAACTGTATAGCTAACATAAGAAGGAACAGAAGAGTAGTCAGTGTTTACTTCTTGTCCCAGCTTCCAGGAACGGTCTTCCAATGGTCTTTCATTTCTACAAGGATTGAATGAAAAGTAATGCCTCCACCTTCGTTACTTGAGTTTGGATGGGAATATTTTAATAAATCAAATGCAGAAATAATCAATATTGTTGAAGGCTTTCATGGCCGGAATCACTGGATTGTTGTAGGTTTTTTCGGGCTATATGGCCATGTTCTAGAGGCATTCTCTCCCGACGTTTCGCCTGCATCTATGGCAAGCATCCTCAGAGGTAGTGAGGTCTGTTGGAAGTAGGAAAATGGGTTTATATATCTGTGGAAAGACCATGGTGGGGCAAAGGACTGTTGTCTGCTGGAGCTAGGTGTGAATGTTTCATCTGACCACCTTGATTAGCATTTGATAGCCTGGAAGTGCCTGGAGCAATCATTTGTTGAGAGGTGATTAGATGTCCCTGATTGGTTTCCCTCTGCTCTTCTGATGTCTGCAAGAGCTGCAAGACTGAGAACAAGCCACGAGAGTCAAGACAAAGACCCACCCAGAGGAAAAGTGTTCTTGCCATACAACAAGGGAACCACTGACTGCATTGGGAAGCTGATGAGGAAACACAACATACAAACTATCTACAGACCCACCAAGAAAATCCAACAAATGCTACATTCAGCAAAGGATAAGAGGGACCCTCTCACTTCTGCAGGAGTCTACTGTATACTATGCAGCTGTGGACAATCTACATAGGGACCACCAAATGCAGCATTGCCCAAACACGAATCAAGGAACATGAAAGGCACTTCCAAAAAAAAGATTGCTCCAGGCACTTCCAGGCTATCAAATGCTAATCAAGGTGGTCAGTTGAAACATTCACACCTAGCTCCAGCAGACAAGAGTTCTTTCGCCCACCCTGGTCTTTCCACAGATATATAAACCCATTTTCCTAGTTCCAACAGACCTCACTACCTCTGAGGATC